CAAAGTGTGCCAAAGGAATAAAACCACTATGCAAGCCCCTCCTGGTCTTCTCAAACCCTTGCCTATTCCCGATGGACCCGGAGACGCTGTGTCCATTGACTTTATGGATGGTAAGGTCAGGAGTAGGCATGGCAAGAGCCAAGTCATGGTTATAGTCGATAGATTTAGTAAGTATGCAGTGTTTGTTCCTTTGCCGTCTGAGGCAGGTACAGACTTAGTCATACAAAAGTTTTCCGATCATTGGGTCAGTGAACAGGGCCTACCGCTGTCTATAGTTAGCGACAGAGATACCCGGTTCACTATTCAGAACTGGCAGGAACTAATGAAAGTCTACGGATCTAAGTTCTTAACGTCATCTGGCCGTCATCCAAAGACCAACGATCAGACTGAACAGATGAACAAAGTCCTGCAGCAGGTTTTGAGAATGTATATTAGACATGACCAACTTAACTGGGTTGAGGTGCTCCCAAAGGTAGCCAGTGCCTATAATCACAGCGTGCACTTAGCCACTTTTCGCGGTCCCAACGAACTGCATAAGTCCTTTAGACCGTGTAGGTAGCCAGTGCCTATAATAACAGCGTGCACTTAGCCACTTGTCGCGCTCCCAACGAACTGCATAAGTCCTTTAGACCGCGTAGACCGTTTGAGGGACTCAACCAGGATCAGATTCAGAGGCTACCACCCGGAACTAGAAGGTCCGCGATACAGCATGAAAAAGAGATTGCTACCGTAGTAGAGAACCTCAGGAAGGCCCAACATAGAATGATAGAGCAAGCCAATAAGCATTGTCGTCCATCGCAGTTTCAAGTAGGTGACTTAGTCTCGGTCAAGTCCAAAGAGTTCGCTCCTAAGGAGAACATCTCGCAGAAGTTACTGCCTGCATACAGAGGACCGTGGCCAGTCTTAGAAGTTAAGGGCGGAGAGGATGGACTGTCTTACACAGTCGAGATTTCAGCACACCTCCACACCTACCCAGTGTTTCATGCGTCAAAGTTGTTGCCTTGTATTACAAGTCAACAGTTCCCGTCAAGAAGGTCCATGATCCCTCCGGACATGGATGGAAAGTATGACATTGACGATATCGTAGGTGGAGATGTGTTTAGAACAGGAGGTAGAGGACATCCACAGAAACAGTATAAAGTTAGATTTTTTTTTCAGGAACTAGAGGACGACCACTGGTTTATACGAACAGAACTTGAGACTGCTCCCGATGTAGTTCGAGCCTATGAGAGAGAAGAAAGATAAAGGTCCAGCCTTGGTCTCGGAGGACCTCGGATTTAGGCCGGCAGGAGTGAAACGGTTTTCACCTTTGCAGTGACAGATGCAGATCCCAGTGTTCGATCCCTAGCCTCACCTCACCTGTGTACAATACCTCTGTGTGTTTGAACCCGTGACCTGCGTTTTAGGAGTCAGTTGTTGCTTGTCGTAGGTCTGTGGGTTCGATTCTTAGGTCTGTCAGTTAGGGGTCATAGTTGTGTAGAGGCCTTAGTTGTAGTAATTCTGAAAGGTCAAAAGGTCGTAGCTGCTACAGTCCTGAAAGGTCAAGGTCGTAGCTGCTACACTTCTGAAAGGCCAAGTCCACAGACTTCCGGAAGGTTCGGAAGTGGCCTTTCGAGAGTTTCTCACGTTTTAGTCAGAGGCAAGTGGGCAAGTGGTGAGTCCAACTTCGCTTAGTCAGCGGTACCCAGTTCCAGTCTCACTTTGTACAGTCAGCAAGTACCATGCGGGACTGTGTGCACCATGGCCCCGGTGGAAAAGGGCAGACCAGCGACTTACAGAAGTATAAATCAAGAGGCAGCGTCCAGCCATTTATTCATTCCTGTGTGAGCCATGCGGAAGCGCTGTCAGGCGTGTTGTGCGAGGCGGTCTGCAGAAGCCCGAGGTTGAAGTGGCCTGAAGAGAGATAGTTCGTCCATAGCCAGTAGCATTAGAGCGCCCATAGCCGCGGGAGCTTAGAGATAGAGTTCAGTGTGTGTGTGTGTTCTTTGTACAAAGTTGTGTGCGTGGGATATCCAGGGTGATCCAGAGACAAGTTCATGCAAACAGAGTGTGGACAAAGGGATGTGTGAGCGCTCAGGCGCCATAGCCAGTTGGAAGCGAGCTTGTAACTAAACTGTGTTTTCGGCTCGAGTATCTCTGAGCTTTGTGTGGGTGCACAGCGCCAGCGTGGACTGCCACCTGTTTGCATGTATGTGGAGTGGGGAAGAAAGCAAGTCTGATTGCATATGTAGGGGTCGGGAGGCCCCTGGGGGCATTGCTCATCACTCCTGAACATATATACACACATACACACACAGACACACACACCACATAGGCACACACGTACATTGGTCTTTGACTTCCATGTGATCCAGTTGCATGAATGTGGATAGGCATAGATAGGCTGAGTACTGTAGGCTGGGCGTTGGGCGCCAGACAGTAGGAGCGACATTGGATACTGGTTGGTGAGACCAAGAGCGCCGACATTGACATATGAATTCATTGTATTGCTCTTATTTGGATGGTACCTTGGTGAATTGTGCTCTCTGCTTGGTACATGACTCTCTGGGCTACTTCATGATTTGCAATCTGGACTTCTGTCTATCGCTCTCACTCATATGCCTTGCATAATTAATCCAGATTGCAAAATCACGAAGTAGCCCAGATAGTCATTTACCAAGCAGAGAGCACAATTCACCAAGGTAAGAGCAATACAATGAACTCGTATATCAATGTCGACACTCTTGGTCTCACCAACACATTATCCAATGTCGGTCCTACTGTCTGGCGCCCAGCGCCCAGCCTACACTACTCAGCCTATCTATGCCTATCCACATTCATGCAACTGGATCACATGGAAGTCAAAGACCAATGTACGTGACATCATCACCAATGCAGACCGCCAGCATACACCAGATATGTTCTCTCTCCTCTCACATCACCCCTTGACTTCCCACAGTCTATCAATTCTGCAACAACCCGCTCAAAATATGCTATGGTCATCAGCCAGGGACTGCCCGCAGGCCACAGCAAGGACCTGCGTCAGACCCTATCCAAACAAGGCCCGAAATGAGGCTTCAAAGGCCCTGCGCCGACAGTTGATCGAAGAAAGTCAATAGTCAACTGTAGCTCGGAAATTGAGGCTCATGAGTCAAAGTCTGCACAGACCCAGTCCAGGCCACCGATCAGACACACACATTTGGCTGTATGCAGGTATCCAGGCAGCATCTGGACCAAGTGGAAGTCTGCAGTTGTATGAGGTCCAGGCCATTGACTATGGGTCAATCTGAGCCCTCGTATCCGACAGACCAGAGGGTGGTCAATCTGCATCAACACTAATTATTGACCCAGCCCCTGCTCATTGACATTCAGTCTTGCACTTGCTGCTCGACGATGGCACGATGCTGGCTGGACGCTAGCTTGACCCTGGCACTGTGCGTGATGACGACGCGAGACTGCTACATTGTGTTGCTGGCGCCTCTCTGCTCTTGGCGCCAGCTGGGGACTTGATTGCTGACGTGGCGCTTGCCAGATTGACTTCGACACAGATTGGGGTATCGACGAGGACGGATTTCAAGGCTGTGAGATTGGTTGTGAGGGAGGGAGAAATTATTGTCGTCAACATTGCACGCTGCTGTGACGTCTTCATAGGAGATATGCGCCTACGTGGCACTATGTTGTGATAGGTTCTTGCCAGGCTCGTCCTTGGGATACTGTACGCTGACGTGGACGAAGGGGAAATCTATCTTCGATGAGATTGATGGATACTTTCTCGTCCACCCTCTTATCTCCCTCCTATCAGCTTCGTCCTTTGGTTACGAGACATTGTACCTCAGATCACATTCATGATTATTGGAGACATTGACATGCGCTAAGACTTCGACATTGACGAGTTTCTCTCCAGACTGGGTTCATTGCAATTTGGTATCGGAGCTTTACCTCCTTCGTTGCGATCTGCTGATGTTCGTTGCGACACGCGATGGTAAGTATAGGGAGGTGGGTCGCGCATCAATTGTTTGACCAGCGACTTTGCTGACGTGGCGCATCGATCGGCGATCAGCGAGAGTAGTGTTGACAGAGACGCTGACGTGGTGCTGGACGATCGACCAGAGAGAAAGCGAGAGAAAGAGAACAATTGACGTGGCATCGGGAGTGCTGCCTACATGGTATGGCATGTGGATGTTGACGTGGCATCCAAAGGAACAACAGGGTATTGTTTGACGTGGCACTTACTTGTGTCACGACTTACCTGCTGACGTCGCACCTCCATAGCCGCAGCAATATCTTCAGTCTGACAGGGCATACCAGTGAGAAATGAGCTTGGTAGTAGCACGCTGTTGACGTGGCTGTGGTGACTCCCCATTTGACGGCCTTGCTGGCCATTGTCGCTGATGTGGCATATTTTGTGGATGTGCTGCGTTGGCTAGAGTGGGATGTGACATGTGGCAGGGAGGACTTGCGCTGCCATTTTCTATGAATATTGGTGATGATCGACACTTGCACTTGTGTGCGCTGACGGGCGGTACGACACCGGGTTACGCCGTAGTGCCACGCATCATACCTTGTGCATGGACACAAGCATCTGCAGCGAGACAGCAAGAGGATGAGCAGCCAACACATTGATTGCTCGTGTTGTGATTGGCTGACTCTACTCACCGGTCATGGGTTGTTCTGTGTATGCTTGCTTCTCACCATTTGTGTTCTTGTCTTGATCACACCGGTCGTGGCTGCGGTATCTGTACACTCTCGAGTAGGAACGTCATCATATAGAAAATCAGCAAAGTTAGAATAGAAATTCATTGAATTATTCTAATTCATTATTAATTTCTGTTGTTATTTATTCTTGCAAAGTTAGAATAGAAATTAACTGAATTATTCTAATTCATTATTAATTTCTGTTGTTATTTATTCTTGCTGTGTAGAATTAGAAGAAGTGTGGTCGTGGAATTTATTACTGTCATTTAAAGTTTATTGTGCGACACTCACACGCTGGGTAAAATGGCTTACCTCTGGAATTGCTTGCGTGCGTCTATTCTGACTCGATTTCTCTCTCTTCTTCGTCCCCATCTCGATCACCTTCGTCGCTGAGGAAAAAGGTGGTGAAATGCGAACCCGTGGTCAAGTCGCAGAAAGACGGAAGCAGATGGCGGACCGTCTTCACCAGCTGCTCACTGAATTGCATGACGCTGGGCCAGAAGCTAAGCAGCATGTTCGCTGTCAGCTCGACCTGCGTTCAGCAGAGGACGAACTAGTGGGGGCTGAAACTGTTGTTCAGATGCTGGAGGTCAGCGGCAGAGTGCAACAACCAGTTGACCTGGGGCAAATGGCCTTCGATCAATTTGTGGCAGAGCAGTTGGCGAAGATAGACGGGGATGTGACCAAAGAAGAAGATAAGGGGGAAGCAAGTGAGAAGAGAGAAGAACCCTAACTCACTGAAGAAATAATGGACAAGTTGGACAACACTATTAAGCAGTTGCAAGCTGCATTGGAGGCAGAAATAAAGGAGGAAGACTATCAGAGGATGAAGAAAGAACAGGAACAACAAGAGCGAAAGGTAGAAGAGATTATACAGAAGTTTCATTTTGCTGAACCAGAAACTGACTTGGCATCTGTTTTGCAAAATATGATGGCCTGTCTTGCACATCTGGAATTGAAAATGACAACGTCACCGCTGAACTGCAGATCGTAACGAGACAGGTGAAGGGAAAAAACAAAGTTGTGTATGAGGAGGCGGCCGAGGGGAAAGAAGAAAAGAAACCCCAGGAAAAATTAATGAAGGATGCCATGAAGACGCCGGAACAACGGAAAGAACCCGAGCCCCCAAAAGAAGAACCGGCAAAAAAAGAAGAGCCAGCGAAGAAAGAACCAGCAAAAAAAGAAGAGAGCGAGAAACCAAAGCGCAGAGAAAAGGTGAAAATGAAATTGCAATTCACCTACAATGGCAAGCAAGGTGAGCACCTTCTCTAGATTGCCGAAATCCGGACTATTGTGGTACCGCTCCTGTGGAACCTGAGAGTCAAGTTGCGTTTTCAACTTCATGTCTGGGTGAAGTTGTGAAGGAGTGGGTGTTATCTGAGGTTAATGCTGCATGGTTTTGAGGATATTGGCCTTTCAGAGATCGATGGGCTGCCTCCTGGCACTCCGAAAGGTCAAATTACTCCCTCTACACCCTCCTCGATCCGCATGGTGCGGTTATCTCCGAGGATATTGACTGCAGGTTCTTCCAACTTTTGGACTTGGAGGTCTAGCCGCATCTTCTTCAGCGCTTTGCGACTGATGTAACTTCTGGTGGCCCCACTGTCTGTAAGGGCCCCTTCTCTAGATCTAAAGATCTCTACATCAGCTAACAATAACTGCCCCTTCTCGTTCTTCTTCATCTTGGCTCAAGCGGGGGAGGGCTGCAACGGCCGAGTAGTCCCCCTCTTGAACTACCGTGCCGTTGGGTTCTCCCTCCAGACCATAATCTATTTGGTCGTAGGGGAGAGTCTCGACACCTCCTTCTTCGAAGGTCAGAAGGAGGTTGTCTTTCCTAGGTATGTACCCTGAGATAGTGCGGTTCTGCCACTTTTTCCTTGCGGCACGCCCTTCTTCTTCCTATCTCCGTCTCCATGTCCTCCGTTTCCTCCACCGCTACTTACCAATTTCTCAATCACGGCGGGTGTTAAAGTCTTGTTGATCTGCTCGTCTAATTTTACAATATATGCTTGCACATGTTGATCTACTTCTGCTGCAGATCTCTGCAGGAAGGTATTCCAGACTCCCTCAAACTCATACTGGTGAGCTTCAATTTTCTGCAAGGTCTTGTTCATCGCGGCCAACTCTTGTTTTGTATGGAGAACAGTTGCTGTTAAGAGGGCAAGTTGTTCGTCGGTTGCTGTTTGATTTTCCTTTTGTGCCTGTAATTCTCTTTGCAACCTTTCACCCTTTGCATGCAGTCGTTTCCTCTCTTCTAGCTCTTGTCGCTTTGCAACTAACATTTTGTTGTGCAGTTGTACTCGTTTTTCTTCCAGCAAGAATTCCTTTTCCCTTTTATCCTCAATTGATGCCAATTTTGCGACAAACGTGTCCCTTTCTTCCTCCGTCTCTTCAATCCTGTCACATGAATAATTGTCCTGGTCATACCAGTTTAAGGGACTGACCTGTATATTCAACCCACCAGGCTGACTGTTTTCACCCCTTTCAGGGTGACGTCTGATGAGTCTGCCTGTATCATCTGCAGGTTCATCTTCTTCTTCTATAGTCTTTAATTCTGCCTGCAATTCTTTTTCCAACTTTTCTTTCAATTCTTTTTTGATTCTGTCTTCTTCCATTTGAGTTTTCTTCCTCAACTCTTCTTCTTTCTGCTTCTTTTTCTGCTCCTTCTCTTTCTTTTTCTCGGCTAGGTGGCGGTTGGACTTCTCCCTGCGTTGCCGCTGAGAGTCTGAGCTTTGCTGTCCCGGATCTCATCATCATGCGGGAATAATACACTCTCCTGAAGCCAAGAGGGAAAAAGAAACGGAATAGTGGCCCCAAAAGAACAGACAGAGCCACCATCCCGTAAATGGGATAGTCACCCATGGTGGCGAACAGCACATGGGAGACCTCCGCCGGACAACCAAGTAGCTACCCCGGATCCTAGTCTACTTGAGTGGTTGGGATCTGTGACTTTTTTTTTTTTTTCAAAATGTGGATGCCGCTGCTTCAGAACAACAGAAGATATATAACGTTTTCCTAATCAATATACAATGTAGGAACTCTTCTTTTTTGTTTGCTGCCTGTTCAGTTACTTAGCTGATATATGCCTTTAATGGTCTGACTGGTCACTTTCGATAGAGTAGGTAGCTGGGAGAAACTTGAACTAACTTCAAAAACAAATCCAATTGATCACGGTTTTCCCTGTTCTCAGCTGCTTACACTCTGACATGGCCGTACACAGTACCCTGACTCAATCTTCCTTCCCTACCTATCGACAGGCCAGATGGCTAACACGAAGACCAGATGTTGACTCTCGAGTCTTATCTGTCAGATCAGACCAGGGCACAGGTTTCGTCCAGACAGCAGCAGCGACCGCCAGAAAGGAGGGGGAAGAGATGCACGACACACAAATTTGCAATCAATCCAGGTAAGTGGGGCAGGAGATTCTTCTCTTCTTTGTAGCCGTTGATGAAAACTCCACGTTCGTTCCAATCGCTCCAATCGCAGGTAAGACTTCTACTCCTTAGCCCCTTCTTCTTCGGCCAACTTCCCCCTCTATCCCAATCTAACTCCTCTTCAACTCGTCTCTCGCCAGCAATACTCAAGCCAGCTTATCCTTCTCGCCAGCCTTGATCATGCCAGCGCGTCCAGTGAGAGTAACAAGTTTTGCTTCGATACCAAATTTGCAAGGAACCCGACTGTTCTTCACTTTCTGGAGTGCATCAGATCACAGGCATATACTGATTTCACAGATTGCGAAGTCTCACACAAAACCCTATAGAAGATGAATGAGAAACAGGAAGCTCAACTCAATTATCAAACCCAGAATTAGAGAGAGAACATCTTGAGCTCAAAGTGTATAGCGCTGAACAGAGTTACAAGTCTTCTTCGATCAACACGAGTTCCAAGCCTGGCGCTCATCAGCGCCAGCTGCCAAACGTCAACAACAGCGCTCAACAGGTAAGTGCCACCATAGCTCACACTTCCCCCTCTCTCGTATGCCTTCTTCTCTCTCTCCCTCTATGTCTATAGTCCTGGTCTACCCTCACTCATCATGCATGCACACTACCTATCACACGAGGATCTACTCTGAATACTACTGATCGGTATCTCCTACGGACTATCCCTACTAACATACTAACTAGCGCTGGCGCAGCTATGGCTGCCTTCCCTCTAGCCATCACTCTCTTCCTTCCCATATAGCACTGCTCTTCAGCCTAGCGCAGCTCACACACACTCCCATCACGCTTCCAGTACGTGCCTCAGCAGGCAAAGGAACAAAAGCTGCATACTTACTAAAACGGTCGACTATGACCATGACTTGGCTCTTACCATGTCTGCTCTTGACTTGCGTGTCCATGAAGTCTACAGACACTGAGTCTCCCGGCTGATCCGGAATAGGCAAGGGTCTGAGAAGACCTAGGGGCGCGCGTGTAGTAGACTTATTCCTCTGGCACACTTTACAACTGCGGACATACTCTATGCAGTCATTTTTCATCCCGGGCCAGGTATATGCACGCATCAGGTTGGCTAATGTCTTTTGCCAACCGAAATGCCCTTCRGTATCGTGGSATTCCCCTAAAATTAAACTGCGGATCTCTTCGCTGTTGGGAACGCACAGGCGGTCAAACACAYTAGTCTTCTCAAACAGCAACCCGTCTGTAGYGCGGTAATCTRGTTYGGTCTCTGGGGCCTCTCTAACTCTCTTTAGGAGGTCACTATAGATAGGGTCCTGCGTATACGCTTGTCTCACTTTCTCCTGCAGGTCTCTCCCTATATCCAGATAGTGTACTACGGCTCCAAAGTAGTNGCACGCATCAGGTTGGCTAATGTCTTTTGCCAACCGAAATGCCCTTCGGTATCGTGGGATTCCCCTAAAATTAAACTGCGGATCTCTTCGCTGTTGGGAACGCACAGGCGGTCAAACACACTAGTCTTCTCAAACAGCAACCCGTCTGTAGCGCGGTAATCTGGTTTGGTCTCTGGGGCCTCTCTAACTCTCTTTAGGAGGTCACTATAGATAGGGTCCTGCGTATACGCTTGTCTCACTTTCTCCTGCAGGTCTCTCCCTATATCCAGATAGTGTACTACGGCTCCAAAGTAGTATGATCTCCTACTCAGAGCATCCGCAACTATGTTGTATTTGCCCTTCACTGGCTTGAGCTCAAAGTCGAATTGGTCTATCTCTGCGGCCCACCTAGTCAACTTAGGTGTCATCTTGGCTTGAGTCTTTAACCATCTAAGCGTTTCGTGGTCCGAATACACTTTGAAGTGCCTCCAAAGCAGATAGTGCTTCCAATGGTCTAAAGCCTGTCGGAGAGCGTAGAGTTCTCTCTCGTACGTGGTGGTAGCGACCTTCTCACAGGGCATCCTCGCTGACATGAACTCTACGGGCTTATAACCATTGTTGTTGTCTTGCTGCAACACGGCGCCTATCCCATATTGGCTCTCGTCCGTGGTGACGACAAATGACAAAGACGGATCTGCAACTTTGAGGACAGGATACTTCAATTAACGCGCGCTTTAGCTTCTTGAGCGCAAACGTACAGTCTTTGTCCCATTGCCAGATTGCCTCTTTCTTCAGCAATCGGCGCAAGGGAGCGGCGATAGTGGAGAAGTTCCTCACGAACTTCCTATAGTAGTTAGCTAAGCCTAGGAACGACCGCAACTCTGTCAATGTGCGGGGCGTCGGCCAATCTCTAATCGCCGCGATCTTGCTGTCCTTTGGCTT